AGAGCTAAATCTGGTTTTGTACCAGTTTCGTACATGGGCTTATTGTTTAGAGTTTAGGGCACATTTTCTCGTGACATGAAAAGGTTTTGTAAATATCAGGTTTAATGATCGTGTATTGTAAGGGCGTGCCATGATTTTATTGGACCATTCCTCAAATGTTGGGCACTTTATGTATCCAGATTTTTTACTCTTAGGATAATGCTGTGCAGAACCTTTCCTTTACCGGCTTCCCTTGAAGCAAGTATTGTCGTCACTGTTTTGCATTAAAGGCAGCTGGGTCTTTTTAGCTTAGTGTCACATAAAAAGGCCAAGAGCTAATCTTAAACCCAAATATTTCAAACCCCGATCCTATGTACTCTTTTGTGCTGTGTTTCTGGGTTCCAATTTCAAATGCTTGGCAATACCTGGGCAGGTAAAAACTTGAACTGTGGAGGCAGAGAGGCAGCCTGTTGAGCGCAGGTGACAGTGAGGCTGCTCTCGCTTGGGAGTGGGGGGGGCCAGTTGAGAGTATTTGCCACCCCGGTGCTCTGTCACTCCCTTTTACTTTAGGATGCGTTACATACAGACAAGGACATAGCATGACCACCACACAACCGTCAGTCAGGACATTACCACCGATACATTTCTACCATCTGACCCTCATATTCCATTCACATTTTGCCAGTTGCCCCAGTGATGTCCTTCAAAGCAAAAGGATTCAGTTTAGAATTTTATGTTGCATTTATTTGTCCTGTTTCTTGAATCTTTGTTCTGGAACCGTTTCTCAAGCTTTCCTTGACTTTGACAACTTTGACATGTATGTAAATTACAGGCCAGTTATTTTGTAAAGCTTATGATGTTTCTTAGGTTGACATTATGTGTCTTTGGGCCGAATATCCCAAGTGATGCTGTGCTTTTCTCATTGCAGGGTATCAGGCGGCATATGGTTTCCATTTGTCCCATCACTGGTGATATTACCTTTGATTTTTTTAGTAACATGGTGTCAGCCAGGTGTTGCTACTGTAAAATTACTCTTTTCCACTGTAATAAGTATTTGGAGGGGAGATACTTTGAAACTATGTTAACATCGTGTTTCAAACTACTTATTTATTTATGTTTATATAGACTTATAGTCTCTTATTCAGTGGCACTAAGCTGTCTCTTGGAGGAAACACTGTTTTTTATTGTTCATCTTCACCCAAGGATATTTTTTCGCATTGATTTTAGAGAGAGTGGAAGGGAGGAGAGAGAGGAGAGAGAGAGAAACATCGGTGTGAGACACATTGATTGGTTGCCTCCCGCGCTCGCCCCAACAGGGGCCAGGGATTGAATCTGCAACCCAGGTCTGTGCCCTTAATCGGCAATTGAACCTGCATCCCTTTGGTTCGCAGGCCTATGGTCTAACCACTGAGCCACGCCGGCCAGGACCAGGGGGAGACCATCTTAAATCAAGTGGGAAAGGAAAAAGAGCTGCAGGAGAATATGTAAAGAAGTGTGTATGTCTAGATAATTGTAAACAAAAGTTCCTGTAGGACTCTAGTTAGTACAGTGGAAACAAAGACCTGAAATATTTGACAGTCAGTGAAATGAGGAGTGTGATGCTGTTAATACCTCCCCTCTGTTGCTGAGCTGTTTCTGTCACTGTAATGCCTATTCAAATAAAGCAAGTAGCTTTTTAATTTTTTTAATTTTTTTTTACTGGTACTTAATGTTTTTAAGAGTTTACATTATTTTGAAAATGAACTTGTTGAGTTAGTCTGGAATGAGTTTGACTTGAAGAAATAACAGATGTTTAACAAATGACTGAGCTGAAAAGGAAAGAGCATGAGTGGAAAATTAATGAGAAGTGGATGGACCTGACAGAGGGGCAGTCAACAGCAGCTTGGACCAGGATGAAACTTTAAGTCACCACAAAAGCCCTCACAGATTCCTGGGCTCTAATCCCAATTCATTTTTTTCTTTGCAGAATGTTCACATCTTACCACAGACAGTTCTTTACATGGCTGATTCTGACACTTTCATTAGTCTGGAAGAGTGTCGAGGCCACAAGAGAGGTGAGTATCAAAAGCAAAAGTTTGGGGTATTTTTGTTTCCTTATGTATCTTCTGTTTGGAGTTAAATATTGTCCTAGTCCCGAGAGTTACTCAGTGTCTGAGGCTCTGGGCCTACTGCCTATAGAATGAATGAATATATTCTCTTTGAGCCTTGAAGAGCTCTTTTTGCTTTAACGATTGGTTTCTGAACCTTGCAGTACCATTGAAACAAAATCTCTAGGAAGGTATTTTTCTTGTTTTGAAATGCTTGAATCCTCCAGGCACTTCTTGTTATTATTAAAAGAGGATGTGTGTCTTTGGCTACTCAAGCCTTTCATTGTGTGGGATGCTGAGCACCCGTTTACCAAAGATGTGTATAGACACAGTGTCTTGGCTCGAGCAGGGGCCTGTGTCCCAGGAGGGCACACTGAGGCCCAGAGTTAGCCCGAGGCCGTGGATTACCATCCGGCTTGGATCCAGGGGACTGTATGCAAAACCCTTGTGCTGTGGTATCAGCTGAACAGAGGGTAACAGGCCTGAAATCCAGCTGCTGCAGCAAAGTTTGACGTCCTTGGAGCAAGAGCTGTATATGACCAAATCAGAAGGGCACCCTGGCGATGATAAAGGTCAAATTTAGAATTAAAATATAAAACAGGCCCACAACAGGAACACATTTGTTTTATCCAAGTTTTTAGACTTCCTTATAAAGCCTTCTGATGTCAAATGACTTAAACTTTATTTGGTATTTGCCTTTTTTTCCCTCTACACCATCAGATTTGACCTTATGTGAATGACATTTAATAATTTTGCTACTGTGTTGTTACAGCAAGGAAAAGAACTACTATGGAAACAGCAGTTGCCCTTGAGAAGCTATTCCCAAAACAGTGCCAAGTCCTTGGGATTGTGGCCCCGGGGATTGTCGGTGAGAGAAATGCCAACTGGATGTTTTCCTCCCTCACATGCCTGTGGGGGCCGGTTGATGAGTGAACTCCTTTTAGCTTAAAAGCACGTTTATATTTTGGGCCATCCAGATACATTGAAGGTAGTCATATTTATCAGGAGTAAGTCAGGACTTGTCACCTTGTCTTTTCTGGGACCTACTACTCACCTTTGAGCCAGTTCCACACATATCCCAGCATATCTCCAACTTCCACGAAGGCAGCTGATCAGAATCTTTCCTCTTAGGCCACTGTTTAGTGATTGTTTCCAAAGCAGCTACAATCCACCCTCCTTTTGGTTGGAAAAATTTCAAGTTTGAGAAAATTTGTCCATTCTTACATGGGCAGAGGGCATTTTCTTTCTTCAGGTAAATGTACAGTGAAATGCACAGTCCTGATTGTACAATTAATTTAATGAGTTTTGACAAATGTAAACAACACGCCAGACAAGATACAGAATGTGTCCATCTCCCCGGAAGCTCCCTGGTGCCCTCTCCCTGTCAGTCCCTACCTGCCATGCATGTGTGTCTATATGAAGAATATAATTCTCTCTAGACTTGTAACTTACTGTATTTGTACTGGTCCGCTAGGGCTGCCATAACAAAATACCAGACAAGGTGGCTTAAACCAGACATTTATTTTCTCGCAGTTCTGGAGGCTGGGAGTCGAAGATCAGGGTGTTGGCAGGTTTGCTTTCTCCTGCGGCCTCTCTGGCTTGCCTGTGGCCACCTTGCCTTCTTGCTGTGTCCCCACATGGCCATTTCTCTGTGCATATCCCTGGGTTCCCTGCCTCTTCTTGTAAGGACACCAGCCCTGTTTCATGAGAGCCTCACCCTCAGGGTCTCATTTAACCTCACTTATCTCTTTAGAGGCCTTATGTCCAAAAACAGTCACAGTGGGGGTTGGGACTTCATGTGATTTTGGGGGGGAATAACAATTTTGTCTGTAACACCTACCTTCAAAATTCACAACATATTACATACATATTTCCATGCCAATAAATATGTTTGCTGTCATTCTTAATGGCTACATTTGATTGTATAAATGTAACTTTTAATCTAAATACCAGTGTAGGGTATTTCAATTTTTCTTTTTTATTTGTTATAAAAAATTCTCTGATAAAAGTATTTCTCTCTTTCTTTCTCTCTCTCTCTCTGTATCTGTGTATATGTATACTTTATATAATGGCCAAATATTTTAGCCCAGGATAAATTTCTTAAAGCGGAATTGCTGTGAAAAAGTATTTACTACCCTCTTCCCCAGCTTTTTATTTAGAAAAACTTCAAACCTGTAGAAAAGTTGAAAGAAGAATAGTACAATAAACACCCACATACCCTTCATCTAGAGTCACCATTTTAAAAAATTTTGCAACATTTGCTTGCTCTGGCTTTGCTTATAAACACCTCTCTTTCTGAACCCTCTGAAAGTAAACTGCAGGCATCATGACTCTATGCCCCTAAACATTTCAAAGCTGAAAACTTACTCAGATAGTGGCCGGTTAGCTTGTTGATTATGTGGGTGACCTAGGCGGGGCTGGATATTTACGCTGTTATGAAATGAAATTTCAGTTTTTATTGCATCTGGTCATGAAACTGCTTAACTTTTTTCCTAGTGACTCCGATGGGATCGGGTAGCAACCGGCCTCAGGAAATAGAAATTGGAGAATCTGGTTTTGCTCTACTGTTCCCTCAAGTGGAAGGGATAAAAATACAACCCTTTCATTTTGCCAAGGATCCAAAGAATTTAACACTGGAAAGACGCCAACTCACCGAAGTAGGCAAGTGACTGTTACTTACCGTTCCTTTCCCGTCTTGTTGGTTGATTTTAAGAGTCTGAATAAAGTGCGCGTTACTGGAGATGTGGGTAATTGGAACTAGTGATTAACGGGCTAGCGCAGCGCATCCTAAGTTTTAGAAAAGGGGTGAGTTCAGGCAGACTCTGTCGAGCAAGGATGTATCACACAGAGGAAGCTTGGCTGAAGCAGGCAGGTCCTGAGAGGTCATTTTGAAGAGTTAGCGAATTGGCGTAGTGTCTAAGCTCTGACGAGAAAGCTTAATTCAGCACAGTCTGCGACAAACTAGTTACTCAGGCAGAGCAAGGCCTTTCATCTGCGTCTGCAAATGAACTGATCGGCACTGACTCATGAACAAAATCACTGTTGGCATGAAAAATATTCAGGGGTGACCCCTCGCTTATGCACGTGTCAGCCATCCCACAGAGAGAAGCCTCCGTTATTTGAAAGGGCTCTGAACCCAATGGGAATAAAAAATCGTGTAGCCACAGAGGGAAAATTTGTGAGTGGTTTACTGATCAGAAAAAGAAAGGAGTGCACACGCTGAGCCTGGCTGTGCAACTGTCCCTCAGCGCACAAAATGAGTGAAAGGGTCGGTGGGGATGGGAGGGCGGCACTCGGAGGAGTGGGCAGCCACAGTGGCAGCTGCGGGCTGCAGGCCTCTGGGGGACGCGGGAGAGGAGGAGAGGCCCGGGGGAGGGTGGGAAGTTCCAGGGCCAGTCTATGGTGTGAGGCAGGAGAGTGGAGCTTGCAGCTGCCCTGGCTTTGCTACTTTGTAGCTTTGGACAAGTTTCCTAACTTTTCTTGGCGCCTGTTTCCCCTGTAAAGTGGAAAGGACTGACTGACAGAGCCGTGAGTATCAAATGAGAAGTCTGAAATCAAGGCGTCGGTGGGGCCACACTCCCTGGGGCTCCAGGGGTGAACCTGTTCTCGTCTCTTCTACCTTCTGGAGCCTTGCGACAGTCTCGCGGCTGCGTCTCTCCCATTTCTGCCTCTGTGGTCACCCTGCCTCCTCTTCTGTCTCTCGTGCTTCTGTGAGGACAGTTGTCACAGTACTTAGGCTTACCTGATAATCCAGGTACTCTCACATCAGGGTCCTTCATTATAACTTCAAAGACCCTCTTCCCAGTGAGGTCATGTTCCAGGTATTTGATGTGGGTTTATTTTTGGGGAGACCACGTTCACCCCACTCCAGGTGGTTAGTGCCTTTCTCTCCGTTTTCCCTGGATCTTTAAGTTCCCACTGCCGCTCGCTCTGCCCTGTGAACCGGGGTCCCTTTCGGTCCGGGTGGCGGCCTGTGTGGAGACAGTGGCACCGGGGTCCACAGGGTGCTGCTCAGTTACAGCTGCCTCCTTATTTGTGTGGAGTTGTTGTGTTATTTTCAAATAGCCATTTAGTTTTTTAAACGGGGAAAAATGGTGGCATAGGTTTTGAGTAGTGTTTAAGTTTATAAAAGATGGGAAACTTGATGGCTTGAGCACCGACTTGCACGTAACTAGGAGTGCAAGTCATTCGCAGTGATGTTTCATCTTTCAAAACGAAGGAAATAAAGTTTTAATAAAGCAGATTTCTCTCTCATTGCTGCTCTTCATTTCCCGGCAGGCCTTTTAGATAACCCCGAGCTTCGTGTGGTCCTCGTGTTCGGCTATAACTGCTGTAAGGTGGGAGCCAGCAATTACCTGCAGCGAGTGGTCAGCACTTTCTGTGACATGGACGTTGTCGTGGCTGGAGGCCAGGTGGACCACCTGGCGTCGCTGACCTCCGAAAAGTATGTCTGGCATGCTTCTGATTTCTGTGGGTGACGGGAAGCTTTCTTAGGTGTTTATTCCTGTGGGTCTTTATTTTTTATTTATTTTTTAATCTTCACCTGAGGATATTTTTTCCATTGCTTTTCAAAGAAAGTGGAAGGGAGAGAAGGTGAGGGAGGAAAGGAAGGAGGGAGGGAACATGGATATGAGAGAGACACATGATTTGTTACCTCCCGCATGCACCCCAGCCGGGGCCGGGGATCGAGCCTGCAACCGAGGTACGTGCCCTTGGCCAGAATCGAACCCGGGACCCTTCAGTCTGCGGGCCAGCGCTCTGACCACTGAGCCAAACCAGCCAGAGCATCATGGGTGTTTTTTATCTTCCTCTTGCTTTATCGTTAGACACACTGTATAAACACAAAACAGGAAACCGCAGGGATCCTCTTGGAAATCAAAAAACCAACAAGGAAGGAAGGGGTTCCGGAAACTTTTCTAAAGTACAAAATCTACTAGTGCCCAGCCCAGAGCTGCACTAAAGGCTCCTCCCCTTTTACACACTGAACAGTTTTAATGCTTCATGATAAATTGCCACCGATCTAATTTTCCAGGCACCCCGTGGATATCGATGCTACCGGTGTGGTCGGGCTGTCGTTTAGCGGTCAGCGCGTCCAGGGCGCCACCGTGCTGCTCACCGAGGACGTCAGCGACGAGAAGACGGCCGAGGCGGCGATGCAGCGCCTCAAGGCGGCCAACATCCCCGAGCAGAACACGGTCGGCTTCATGTTCGCGTGCGTGGGCAGGGGCTTTCAGTACTACAGGGCCAAGGGCAACGTGGAGGCCGATGCCTTCAGGAAGTTGTTTCCCACGGTCCCTTTATTTGGCTTCTTCGGGAACGGAGAGATTGGGTGTGACCGCATAGTCACGGGCAACTTCATATTGAAGAAGTGTAACGAGGTGAAGGACGGTGACCTGTTTCACAGCTACACCACGATAGTGGCGCTGATCCACCTGGGGTCATCGAAATAGAGCCGCCGGCAGAGTGGCTTTCACGGCCTACGCCTTTTGGGTTCTGCCTTTCCAGAAAATGCAAACTTGGGATATATGTACTGCAAACAAAAATGACTTTATACGTATGTGGTTTTGTAGCTTTGATGCTCTGAAGATTTCTTTGGGGGGTGGGCTGGTTTTTAATATAACAGGCGAAGGACGACTGTGTGTGCAACTTAACGCAGAGCGAGAGCTGAGAGCTTTCGTGTCGGCCACAAGCAAACCGATCGTGGCCGTGGCGCCAGATTCTGTAGCTGCTGCGCATGTGATTTGAACTTGACTCCTGCACAGGAAGGTGGAGGGCAGGGTTCGTCGATAGGATGGAGATTCCAGACATTCCACGACTACCTCTGAGGTGGGAGATGATCGTTCAGCAGAATCATAAAGACAGTTTCTCCCTTAATATTCAGATGGCTTGCGAGAGCTTTCCCTGCTTTACAGTCTTACCGAGATTTTCAGAAGCTGTAACAAAATCATTACTGACTTTTTACCTATTTGATAAATATTAAAGAACAGCTTTATTTTAGTACTCTATAAAGTCGCTTAGTGAAATAAACGGCCAAGACGAATAAGCTGTATTTTATTATTCTATAAGGAAAAATATTTTCTTTTCCCCGCAGACTGTTTTGCAAGACAGAAATTAGCGTCAGTCTTGTCGAAGCCACTTTCCCCCCCAGGTCTTCATCACGGGATAACTTACCTGTTCCACCTGGTACAGTGTGATGTAACCGTGCATGACACTTTTATCGTAATGCTCAGTGGTTCTGACAGGACAGTAGGAAACCTGTAAGGTAAGTGCAGTCAAGTGTGTGAACGTTCCTGCTTGTCTGTTTTCAGTCACCCTTCTCCCAGTTTTCACCTCAAAAGCTTTTTCTCTCTCCCTGTTTATGTATATGATAAAAATACTTAAAAGTTTCTTGTTTTATAGTTACCCTCGATCTTAGTTTCTGAAAAAAGTACAAAGAAAGTTTGACTGTCATAGAACTTTTGGTCTGTGAATGGCACTTTTTAGCCATTTTTATTTAGCTATTAACTTTTTTTTACTATTTAACATTGGTACCCATTGTCAAGCAGAAAATGCCTCAATTTGAGCGCTTGGATATGGTTACATAGCACATAAGGAAAAGACTTTGTAAATTTTCTTTGTTCTGTGATAGTAATCAGAGTTGGTTAAATAGTAGAGGAAAAGGGAATTTAAAAATTGAAAAATTTTAAAAATATGAGCCTGGGGGTTGAGTGGATTATTTTACTTTTTCAAATTAATATATAAAGTGTTGTTACTTCTCAAAGGAGAGTCTGCTGCTGGGTCATTTCATATAATTTAGGTTAATACAGGATTACTTCTGTAGCCGAGCCTTTGGGGCTTATTTGAATAGAAAATTCATTTGGCCACAGGTTGTAACCTTGGTGTGGAAGAGCAGCTGACCCAGTAGAAACCAGAGTGCTACACTAAGTCCTCACTTAATGTCATCGATAGGTTCTTAGAACTGTGGCGAAATGACATAATGAAACGATTTTACCATAGGCTGCTTGATTTAAATAAGAGTTTAAGTTCCTAAGGCATCTTAGCAATGTCATAACAAAGCGACATTAAATGCTATGATGTTACTAGAGGACCTGTTGCCCTGACGAAACAAAAGTCATCCCCCTCACCTCTCAGAGGCCTTGATAGTGCAGGGAGGGGAACTATAATGTAACCAAAGTTAAACAAAATAAGGTATTACAATTTTGAAAGGCTCGGCTTAAATAAAAGCAGTCATTGAAGGAATAGTTACTGTTTCAAAAACTAAAAACATAAATTCCTAGAAGTGACAGCTGTTATAGCCACTTGTGAAACTGGAAAAATCATCACCCGAAAAAATTGACAAGCGCACAAAAAGACAAGTAAAGATACACTGTTAGCATCTTCACACACTGAACTGCCTGCTCTTGAGTGACGATCAGATTGATAGGATGGTTTATTTCATCAAGACATTTAAAAATATTTATTTCCTTGATATACTTTCAAAGCAAAATCTTTCTGCAGCTGCAGTTGGTTTGTAAAAGGAATATATTTCCATCCCCTTTATCCAAGTAGAACTAAACTCCTTATTACCCGGTAGCAATCTAAGGAAGTAAAGGGAAGGCAGACCTTGGGATTCAGACCTGGGAATAGACACCCTGCACCTCGATGTGGTTAATAATCTCTGTGACCTGTTCTCATGGAGAGGGTCCTTGTAGGCCGCGTCACTGCCGCAATTCCCTCAACTAGGCCTAAACCTGGACGACTGTAAACACACCAACTTCTCAACCGAGTAAGAGAGGCCAGAGGGCAAAAGTTTTGCCATTTATTAATACTGCAAATCTAACACAGTGAACATGCAAAGAATGTAAAATAAACTTCTACAATCCATGTAAAAGTTTTTGAGAAAAAAATAAATCTATATTTGTCATTCTATGCCCACACAGTACAGCTTAGATGAGCACCACTGTAAGTTAAATTTTAATGGAAACAGAAGACTCTAAATCCTCTTGCTTGGAAATTGTGATATTTTTTTAGATGACTGACTTGATTTTCATTTGTAGAGACTGGGTATGGGTCTGCTGAATAAAAATCCTAAAATAAAGCACAGTAAGCATTAGTGAGAATGTCTTTGTTAAAAGAACAAACTTAATACCTTTGTAAAGAACTTGTTACCTGAGTTTTTAGTATTGGCACTTTTGAGACATGTTATTTTTGTCATACATATATACTTTTTTGCCCTACAGCACAACTAAGACAGGTAACAAGAATATATGCTACTAGAAAGTAGAGAACATTGGCAGAAGCCGATAAATTTCATTTAAAGTTTTGGTACTAAGTGTGTGTGGAGCATTTTCATTTCACAAACAGTTTGTATAAAAGTTACTGTTTTCTTGTGATTGTCATCACAGCCTGCAGAAAAAGCAGGATGCATAATTACAAGAAATTGGAAGAAAACCTGTTCATTAATTTTAAATGCAAATGATCAGAATGAGAAGTCTGAGACCATTTTCTTAACATTTACACAATTTCCAAGTGTGACTACCCAAAATTCAACCACCATACGTGTACCTAAAACATACTCTGTTCCAGGCCTTGTTGTGATATTGGAATTACAGACAGGAATAAAACTGAATTGGCCTGAAATGTCTTCGTAGTGTACCTGTATCTGCAGCTTCCCCAGACAGCTTAACAGGGTGAAAAGTTAGGTGGTTTTTGCAGCCACTAAACCAGCTACTCCTTGCACTTAAAGGATTTCCACCTTTTCTCTTTAGTTGTGAGAAAGTTGGCCTCTGGCTGCTGAACACATTAGCTTCCTGGGAAAAATGATGCTTAACCCATGCATGTTGCATGTACGACTGCTACCACTTCCCCATTCCCGTTACAGATGCGCTAGTAAGACACAAACACACATACCTTGCAGCAGAACAGACCGTCTCTCGGTATGACAACTTAAGTCTTATTTAGGGAACAAAGGATTAAATCTTAGTTTCTTTTACCTTGGGGTGGTTCATTTTCTGCCTTAGTAACAAAGCAGCAATGATTTGGTTTACTTTGCTATTTTTTCAGTGTTCTTCATGACCTATGGGAAATGAGAAGGAAGGCGTTTTCTCCCATTTTTCCTTTATATGCATACCCACCTGCACATCTCTTATCATTCCCGTGTACACACCCACACTTTCTGTTTGTGCTGTGAAAGGCAGCCTAGCACATCCAAACAAGCCAACTCCCCACCCTACATGCTCCTCAGAATGCTGCAGGGTCGTGTCAGCGCCCCCTTCAGGTCATATAAGGAAGTATCCCTGTTTGGTTTTATAATTTTTTAAAATATATCTTTATTGATTTCAGAGAGAGGAAGGGAGAGAGAGAGGAAGAGATAGAAACATCAATGATGAGAGAGCCATTGATTGGCTGCCTCCTGCATGCCCCCAACCAGGGATCGAACCCGCAACCCGGGCATGTGTCCTGACTGGCAATCGAACCTCGATCTCCTGGATCTAGGTCGATGTTCAACCGCTGAGCCACGCCCGGCCAGGCAAAGTATCCCTGTCTTGCTTCACTCCTATTTGTTACCCAAAGTGCTAAGAAGCCTGGCGACCCTTTTTTTTTCTTCCAGATGTTACAAAGGATAAAGCAGCGGGTAAGGGGAAAAGATTGCCAGAGTGAGTCACTCGAACAGCAGTGAGAATTATGGATGGCAGGGAAACAGAAGAAGGTATGGAACAGGACTGAAAGAACCTGTGGCTCATGAGGGCTTTTAAATGTGGGGGCAGTTCCCGCTACAGCCCGTGAGCCCTGAGGCTGTCACCCATATCTGTGGAAGCGCTAGCGCAGTATGAAAACCGGGGTTTGGGAGCTGGACTCAGCCTGGGTTTCAGTCCTTGATCTAGATGTGTGACCTTGGTCTTAACCTCTCAGCCTCAGGTTTCTCTTTCGTAGAATGAGAATAATAGCACCTGCCTTATGACAGGTGTCGAGACTCATGAGTGAACGTGTATGAAATACGAACTGGCACGAATAGGCATCTGATGTTTGTGATAATAGCGCTGCACGGATTTCTTTCCGTTTGAAGAAATGGGCGTTTTTGCAATAGGGATAATGCGTAATTATAATCCAAATTCACGCTAGGACTTTGGGCTGTGGGTTTATATTCAGAGCATACAAGGTGATGTGAACAAACCTATCAGAAGGTAGGTAGCTAAAGGCGTCACGGTTTGGCAAGGGGAGTTTCTTGGTGAAGAGGTTATTAAATTTAAAGACAGAATATACCATTATGCTGTGATTTTCATAACACAAATATGAGCTAAAATAAGTCGTCAGTGAGCTATGCCCACTACCTTATCCAGATTTTTACCCTTTGTTGTGACATCTTTTTTTACCCTCCGTTTAAAAAAGTTGCAACTTAATACTTGAGTTCCAGTTCTTTCCCCAATTAAACCAGAGTACCTCTGTGGGAAGGCTCCAGGGTACTTTCTATTCTATTACAAATGTGTTTTTATAAACAGAAAGGGGTGTGTTTGTTGTTTTGTGTGTGCAGTGGTTTCTAAAAAGTAAGTTTTTACCATCCGATTGAACATTCTGGAAAAAAAATCTAGAGGCAGACCTTTTGAGGAGAGATGCTGTTGGTGAAGGACATGGTACTGTAACAAGCATGGGCAGGCACTTGCGCATTGAAAGCCTTGGGGCAGGTGACTTCCCAAACCTTTTCTTGACCTGGAATCCAACAGGCAACCTTTTGGTGCCCAGGATGATGCTCAACCAACTGAGCCACTC